ATGCAAAAAAAAACCCCACTTGTTTTATTATCAGATAGTCCTGGCTTCATCTCTGTGTATCCTTGGGCAAGCAACAATCTCTCTCAGCCTCAGTTTCCTCACCTCTAAAATGCTGGCAGGGTAGTTGTGAAGATTAAATAAGATGCTGTATATAAAGTGCCAGGAATCTAGCAAATATGGTGATGGAACATCCTTCCCCCCTTCCTCTGCTTGGCCAACTTCATCTCAAGATTTACCCTAAGGGTCACAGCCTCTGTGAAGCCCTCCCTGATCCTCCAGGGTCCCCTGCACCCCTGCCTTTTCACTCGGTGTCTCTCTCATAGCTCTTAAAATGTAAAATGATTGCTAGCTACATCGCATTGGGGCTTTCCCTGCATTTTGTGGGTCCCGAGGCCTGGGATGGTGTCTTGATCATCTCTTTTTCCCCCGCACCTGGCAAAGTGTAAAGCAATGTGCAATCATTACTGCATAGCATTTCTGATAACGCATAGTATCATCTCTGGAAACCTAATTTTAAATAGTAACGCAAATGGGATTATATGAAGTTGTCATCGGTTCTCCATTCGGATTGTGGGCTCTTCTGAAAGCAAGAAGGCTCCTTCTATAACCTAGGTACTTACAGTAAATACTTCTGAGAGATATAAAAATATTTTAGTAAAACCTTTTGCATTTACTGGGAAATTATAAATAACAAAGCAATCTGACCTAAAAGATGAAGGCCCAGCCCTTGCAAAGGCAGTGCAGCGCTACCAGCCGCAGGCTTCGTGACTGGTATTTAGAAAGGGTAATTGGGAGTGAAAGGAGCCTCTCATCACAGGAAGTGCTCTGGGAAGAGACAGAGCTGCAATTGTATCCAACTTTTTATCTAAAAAAAAGTAACATGGACAAAAGGAAAGTGATGTGGGATACACCATGAAGAGAGCCCTGCTACAGTCAGGTATAACAACTGATGTTTCTGTCCTATGCAGTTGCTCCCGTAACCATGGCAACCAGGATCCAGGCTATACTTGTGCTGTGCTGAATTTCTGTGCTGTTTGTTATTTTTTATTATGGGCCATGGGTAGGGGATTTAAAGTTGGTTGTATTTTATGAAACATCCACTTGCAAAATTGCCAATGTAGGGAAGGAAAAAAATCTTTTTTCTTCTACCCGTCTAGGTTCTTGGCTGGGGCTCTGTAACAAAAGACAGAGTAACAAGAGGAAAGCATACACATTTATCTAATATAAGTTTTACGTGACACGGTAGCCTTCATAAGGAAATGAAGACCCAAAGAAACAGTTAAACCTGAGTGTTTTTATACTAGATTTGATGAAGAGTGGAAAGTCGTGGGAAGATGTGACAGGACAAAATGGCATGAGCTAAGGGGAGTAAACTGGGGAAAACCTAGCAGGGCCTCTTCCTTCAGATTCCTCTCGGAGTCCCTCCATCTGTGGACATAAGGTTGCTCCTTTCCTTGGGGATGCAGAGGGCACCCCTCACGTGGGGGTCTTATGACCTATCTCAGGGGAGAAGGGGGTGGTCAGAGAATCCTTCCTGCCCATGCTGTTTCTCAAATTCCTTCAGCTTAAAATATTCAATATGCCAAGGCGCCAGACTTTGGGTAGTGTGTCCTGAACCCCGTCACCAAGGACTTCATCAACTATAAGGATACAGGGAGACCAGTCTTTGTGCACTCATTTCAAACCCGTTATATGACATTTGGACCATTGCTCTGGCCACCTAACTGGTGTCCCTGCATCCGTCCTTGCTTTCCTCCCCATCTAACTTATCATAGCAGCCAGACAGATCCTTCCTAAAGGTCATTCAAATCTTATCACTACCAACTCCCTAGCTTCAAAAGCTAGGGATGGCTTCCCATCAGGCTTGGAGAAAACCCCAAAGTCCTTATCATGCCCAACAAGGACCCTTGTGAAACCGACGGCTCTTTGACTTCACCTCTCATCTTTCTTCCCCTTGCCACTGCGCCTCAGCTCTGGTGACCTCCTGCTGTACCTTGTCTGTGCCAGGCACCCTCCCCTCTTGAGGCCTTTGCACTTGCTGTTCGTGTAAAAATGATTTTAAATTAAATGAAAGATCCTTTACCCCATGAGCAATTTTAAAGAAAAACCCTTTCTTTTTAGGGGATAAGACACAGGATGTGAATTATTATCTATACTTAGAAAATGTAATGCTGTCTCATCGACTAAAAGAAAAAAACCCAGATTCCTATTTGCCTATCTCTAGATGCAAAAGTCACAGTTGATATGAAACGAGAAAGACTACCCAAATTTTTATGTCTTGGAGAGGAAAGGAATTTCCATTTCAAGTCCTTTTATTTGTCTGCAAATTTAGTTTGCAAAATTCCAGTATAAATAAAAACTACCAAAACCCCCCAACCTCAAAAAACCCTAAACCCCAAAACACTGTCATGAACTAATCACACTTGGTTTTCATGTGCTTTGCTCTTTTATAACCACTGAATAGTTTTTAAGATCATTCCAAGTCACATGAAACCACATTTCGTGAAACTTGAAGTTTTAGGTGACTTTGCAAGTTTCTCTTTAAAAGATCAACATGTTATATCACAATAAGCAGCCCTGAGAAGCCACAGGGAGAAAAGATATCAAATAGAATTCACTCTTGATGGCCTCAAGCCGACTTCTTCAAAACCATTTGAAAACACAAACATATTTTAGTGTTCCATACCTTTTGGGGAATTCTGTCACAAGGCAGGTTAGGTGTACATATGATTAGGCCTTCAGAGCACCAAGAGAGGAATTTAGGAGAGTTAGGAGAAAAGAACTGTGAAAATGTGTAGGTTTATACATAACTCAGAAATGAACTTGTTAAAACTATAACAACAATTAACATACTATGCATTTTTTTAAAAAGAACAAATCAGCTATAATCACGTAGAAGGCTTGTCGTGTTTAAACAATTATACAGACTGGTTAAACACTGTTTGCAAAGGCCTCAAAGAAGTAATTTCCTCTTCAATTCATTTACTAGAGAAATGTTGGTAGATTCAAAGGCTGAGGCAATGGACTTCCTCTGACAGATTAATACCTGTTTGTACATAAGCAGAATTGGAACTTCAGACCTAAAGGGGTTCAGGGTATGCCACCCCAAAATACGCCATTCTGGCATAAGGATCATTTTGAGCTGAATGAAATTGAGAAAAAGCAGACACAGGATGAGCTCTCTGCCCTCCCCCTACCTGCCTGAAAGCAGAACATAAATTCCCCTTGTGAATTCCCTACCATGAAGAGGGTAACAACCTTATCACTGCAGAGGAGATGGTAGCTAGAAGAGTCTACACAAACAAACCTTACTAAGTAACCATTCTCTTCCATTAGTGCCTCCCATATATTTACCTTCTCACAGTTTGCTGCCCCTAAAAGCCTAAAGCTCTTTTCCTTTGCCTTGTTACTTCTCTACAAATTTACTGTGCTTTGTTAAGATGCTATATAAGCCCAAGTTCTTAGCACCCCTTTGAGTTACTCATCACTGAGTTTCTCCTGCATGTATCATGCTGTACATGTTAATAAACTGTTTTTCTCTTGTTAATCCATCTTTTGTCAGTCTAATTTGCAGGGTCCCAGCTAGAGAGCCTAGGAGGGTTTTTTCCTCCCCTACAGACCTAAACACATGCCCTTGAGAACATAAAGACTCCCCAACATCAGAAACCAAATGTTAAAGAGTTTTATATACGCTGGAGAACTTGTGTGAAAAAAAATGCAAGGCTCCTTCAACTAAGCACAAGGACTTGAAACAAAATTCTAACTGCGATGAGTTAAAGGGTAACTTTCATGGTTCAAGGGAGATCTGTAAAGTGAGAAAAGAGAGGGGAAAATAACGAGGCTCTGGTTACTCAATGTTAGAGCCTAAAGACGCTATTCATTTAGTCCCACATCTCCAGGAATACATTTCTCAGAAGTCAATATGGAGGCAGTCTTGGACAGTGAATTCGGAGGAAGAAAATCTGGGAGCAGTTTGAGTTGGGCTATTTACGGTTGTGTAGCTTGGGCAAGTCATGGCACCTCTGTGGACCTGTTTCCTCATCTGTAAAGTGTACAGAATAATATTCTTTTCTTAGAGCTGTGAAAAGGATCAAGTGAGAGCCTATTTATGAGTAATTCTCAACTCTGACTGCATCTTAAAATAACTTGAGGAATCAAAAAAATGTTGATGCCTGGGTTGTATTCCATAGATTCAGATGTGGGCCCTCAGCATCAGTGGGCTTTCAAAGCTCCTCAGATGATTTTAATATGCAGCCACTGCTGAGAATTACAGGCCTATTGCTAAAGCAGCACTTCTCAAACTATCTTGAACAGGATCACGTGGGGGCTCCTGCCAAATGCAGATATAGATTCAGATTCAGTAGCATGGGGCCTGAAAGTCTGCATTTCTAATAGGCTCCCAGGTTATGCTGAGCTGCTCTCAACCGTACTCTGAGTACACCAAAGTACTAAGTGGCCACATAGCACAATACAAATCGTCATCCACTTTCTCTCCCCAAACTATCGACTTGCAGTGTTAGTGGTGTGAGCTTCAGCAAAAGACTTTCTTTCCTTCTTCTTAGGACTAAGAATAGTATGTATAAGATTTTAAAAACAAGCATAAAAGGGTTGTACAAATAAAAGGTATCACTCCAGGGGGTTAGGGGGTGGGTGAAATGGGTGAAGATGGTCAAAAGGTACAAACTTCCAGTTATAAATAAGTCCTGGGGATGTAATGTACAGCATAGTGACTGTAGTTAATAATACTGTATAGCATATTTGAAAGTTGCTAAGAAAGTAGATCTGAAAAAGTTATCACAAGAAAAAAATTGTAACTATGTATGGTGACGGATGTTAACTAGACTAACTGTGGTAATCATTTTGCAATATACACAAATATCGAATCATTATGTTGTACACCTGAAACTAATATATTATATGTCAATATCTCAATTAAAAAAACCAAACCAGTAAGACCTCAGCCAAACAAAAAAAGGTATCACTCATTATCTGTCGTTAAGAGAACATTTATTTACAATTACAAGCACACCCACTTGCTATGGTACCACTGCTCCCCACATTCATTACAAATTACATAGGTCATCATTTCTTCATCTGGGTTTGAATTCCGCACCCAACTTGGAAGGAAAAGTGTTCCTCTGGCGATTACAGTGACTTTGCAGTTGAATTTCTCACAACGTCTGCATTTTATTTTCTTTGTCTGTGTGCCCTCCATTGCTTGGGGAAGGTAATGTTCCTGTAGGCAAGATTCCGCGTAGGAGGCTCTCAACTGCTTCAGTTCCTTGTTTGCCATTTCCATGACAGTCATTTCAGCAAATTCTCTCGGAGACATGGTGCCAGAGAGCAGGTTTTGTTGTAAGTGAGAATTTTTGGGGTTCTTCAGATTGGCAACTTTGCTTCTGATACAAGTTTTATATTTTTTGAGGTTCTTTGAATAAAGGGCAAAAATGTGCTCTTCAATTTTTCTTGCAAAGTTCTGCCACACATCAGCTTTGGGCTGATGTGTGGAAGAACTAGTTAAAGCTTGATAAAGAAACTCTGTGCATTTAGTTCTCATGGGCACTGCGGGATTCAGCAACTCATTTGATCTACTGTCAGTGGATTTAGGGTCACCATCCCTGAAATGCTCTTCCTTGGGCTCCACTGGACTGGTGCTATTTTCAGGCACAATCATTTCAACGGCTTTTGCCATAACATCTTGAGATGATAGCAGAGAATCAGAACTGGAGACGCCCAATATCTCATCCTGACTTGGGTCATGAGAAAGTCCTGAATTTTCTTCTTTATTTCCACCCACAGGGAATAATTTAGAGCTGTCCCTTTGTTTGAAGTGAGTATACTTATACAGAGCTTTCCATTCTGACAGCAAACACTTGGCTTTCTTTTTCAAAGCCACTGTCGGGCAGTTTTTGAGGACTCTGTACACAGCCCTGACCACATCTGTCTCCTGGAGATGCTCCTTAGTCACACCAAGAGTTTCTAGCTCAGTAAGGTGGTTGCCAAGATCCTCAAAATTCCTTTTAGCCATCAGTTGCTCAATAAGGGAAGCTCTGGCAGCTATCTGGTTCTTGTCAGACATCTTTACAGCTGCAAAGAAAAGAGAAAAGAGGTTTCCATTTTCTTAAGCTAGCATTTGCCAGTCACAGTTTCCTGACAGTAGTGTAGCACTTCCTGCCAGTTACCTACGCAGTGTTTTCTGAAAGAGTTATGTAATATGAATGGGTACAACATGTTAGAAAACGGAATCTGCAATGTGTATGGTTTAGTTTCAAAAGTTTGAGTCTCAGCAGTTAAAAAAAAAAGCAGCACTGCAAACGGCTTCTGCACGAACAATTGCTTAGAAGAAGCTTGCTGGAGTTGCTGCTTTAGCTTTTTCTATCTCTAATTTTACAAATCAATGATTTTTCCAGATCAACATTAGTCAATTCCTTTGGATGGAATTTGGTGATCATGCTGGGAGTGAAAGCATGCAGTGTCAACATCAACGGGGTAAGGCTGAGCAAGGCCAGACTATTTCCCCTCCATATGCAGCTGTATAACTGAACTACCCGCTGATTTTATAATCTTTAAGTGTTACTTTTCTGAATATAAAAGAATGAAAAACAGGGCAAAAAGGGGATGCTAATATCGCAAGGAATCTAAAGACATCGTGAGACAGCACAGGTTGGGAGGCAGCCAGAGCCAGGTCTGATGGGCCCCAAAAGTCAACAGGCCACACTGTGCTGACATCAGAGTCTTCTGAATGACGGGGTAAAGGTTCAGACTAAGCGATCCAGATGATTTATGACTTTGGACTAACTGGTCCCTAGGTTCCATTAACTTTTTTCTTTTTTTAACTTTTAGGTGTAAAAAGTTGCTTGATGATTATGTCTGTGTGAATCTCATCCCGGGCAGGCAAATGTTTGCTTTATCTGTATCTATTTCTCTCTCTACATAATGTACGTAACCTTGCATACATAAGCCCTTGGATCTATATCTGTCTGTCTGGTCTAAATGGGAACATAAGCATCTTGATGGCAGGGGCCCTGTCTTTCCAAAAATCTATAGCCTCCCGTTTTATAGCACTTGATATTAAACAACCATCACTGAACACACACAGGCTAACAACACTGAAGCAATTACAGCGAGATTAAGGCAGTGTTCCTAAAAGCCATACGATAAGTGCCGTAGAATGTAATGTCCTTTTAGTTAGGAATTCTACTTCTATAAATTCACTTTAAGGAAATAAGAGATGTGGAGGTTGTATATGTAATAATTTTCTTCAAACTTAGAAGAAACTGGAAGGTCTCAAATAGTTAAAAAATTATAGTACACTCCTAGGATGATATAATAATATGACCATTTGAAATCATGTTTTTGGAGAATATTTAATGGCATGGAAAAATAACCATAACATAATGTTAGGTGAAAAAATCAGGTATAGGGCCGACCCCGTGGCTTAGCGGTTGAGAGCACGTGCTCCGCTGCTGGCGGCCCAGGTTTGGATCCTGGGCGTGCACCGACGCACCGCTTCTCCGGTCATGCTGAGGCCGCACCCCACATACAGTAACTAGAAGGATGTGCAGCTATGACATACAACAATCTACTGGGGGCTTTGGGGTGAAAATAAATAAATAAATAAAATCTTTAAAAAAATCAGGTATAAAACTATGTAGACAAAAGATCAAACAGAAAGTTATCATGTGATTCAGCAGATCTACCCAAGAGAAATGAAAATATATGTCCACACAAAAACTTGCACACTAATGTTAATAGCAATGTTATTCATAATAGCCAAAAAGTGGAAACAACCCAAATGTCCATCAACTGATGAATAAAAAAATGTAGTAGATCCATACAATGGAATGTCATTTGGCAATAAAAAGAAATGAAATTCTGATACACGCAACAACATGGATGAGCCTTGAAAACACTGTGCTAAGTTAAAGAAGCCAGACACAGAAAATCATATGTTGTATGATTCCAGTTATATGAAATGTCCAGAATAGGCAAATCCATAGAGACAGAAAGTACATTAGTGGTTGACTAGGGCTGGGGTGGAGCGAGTGAAATGCAAAAGGGGAGTGGCTGTTAACGGGGGCAGAGTTTTTCTTAGGGGAGGTGAAACTCTTCTGCAGCTGACTATGGTGAGGAGCTGCACAACTGTGAAGGGACGAAAAACCACTGAGGGGTCCACTTTAAACAAGTGAACTACATGGTATGTAAATTCTATCTGAATAAAGCTGTTATTTAAAAACAACATATAGAGTCTGATCCAAAGTTTATTTAAAAATCACACGAGAAGAGAAAAGGCCAAAAATAGATACACAAAATTCTAAACAGTGGCATTTTCTGAATGGTAAGATTTTAGGTGATTTTTGTTTGTTCTTTTACTTTTCTGTATTTTCTTTTTTTATTTATTTATTTTTTTGTGAGGAAGATCAGCCCTGAGCTAACATCCATGCCAATCCTCCTCTTTTTGCTGAGGAAGACTGGCCCTGAGCTAACATCCGTGCCCATCTTCCTCCACTTTTATGTGGGATGCTGCCACAGCATGGCCTGACAAGCGGTGCGTCGGTGCGTGCCGGGGATCCAAACCCGGGCCTCCAGCAGCGGAGCACACGCACTTAACTGCTATGCCATGGGGCCGGCTCCTCTTTTCTGTATTTTCTATGATGACTATGTATTATTTTCATAATCATAAAAGTTATCAGTCTAATATAATTTCATGATAAACCATATACATTTAAGATATTTGCTATTGAAAAATGGTATGATAAATGGATCGGTCAACTTCTACCTTCCCTCTGGAATCAGAATATCATCTCTGAAAGGTGCTACATCACCTGTGGCTTTGCATTCAGATTAGCTTCCACAATTTCCTCTGAATCATCCCTCAAATTCTATCCCAGAATACGAAGAGTAATATACCCTTGGCCACAACTATGAGGTTCCTACTGGTGTTCCCCTGTTGGGACAGCTCAAAGATGACCAAGATTCCGAGTCTTGCATTTTTACCACCAGAGGGTGCTGGAATATAGAAACCTGGGCAGTCATTTTTCTTTATTTAAGTAAGTTAACTGTCACTTAGTGGGCCATCAATTCAGGATCTTAAGTGGCTATTTATCTAATTATCAAGAATAAGTGCTTCAAAATCATTGTTTTTCCTTTCTAAAAGTCCATCTTTAAAGACTGAAAACAGTAAAGAGGTCTTCCTAAAAATCAAAGGCTCAGTAAACAAAGAACAGGCAAGATAGTACAGAAAAATAAAAAATACGTGCCCTCAATTGCTGAACATTTCTCTCAGAATTGTCTGCCTGAGATCTTGGGACCTGGAGGAAATCAAGCTGCAATGTCACAATAAGGTCTCAGGCTGCTCAACACACTTGAGCCCTCCCCCACTTGTTGGAAAATTTCCTAACAAAAAAGAAATATTCACCTTGCTCGCATTCTATATTCATTCTATATGCATCACTACCCAGAAATCAAGATTGAAGCTTGCTGCAAAGTGGTTAATAAGAGACTGGTCTCGAATGCCCACAAAGAGGTTGGGTAATATTTAACTCCGGTCAGAATTTCTCACAGAAGGGTCAGGGTTTCAAGGGGATTCTAAAGGGGAACTGAACTGTAGCTCCGGGGCTTCAGCGTGATGGGAGCAGCAATTTGTCTTCCCAACAAAACCTTTTCTTTACTCATGCAAATCTATAGAAGTCGATGTATTCATGTATAAGCACTTTGCTCTTCATTTCATATGTCCTTTTATTTACCTCTCCTCCACATTTATTTATTTTTAGTTTTTAATTGTGGTAAAACACACATACCATAAAATTTACCATCTTAACCATGTTTAAGTGTATGGTTCAGTAGCCCTAAGCATATGCACATTGTTGTACAACCAACCTCCAGAACTCTTTTCAGCTTGCAAAACTTTGTACTCATTAAACAACAACTCCCCATTCCTCTCTCCTCTCTCCCAGCCCGCGGCAACCATCATTTTACTTTCTATCTCCATGAGTTTGACTACTTTAGATATCTCGTATGAGTGGAATCATACAGTATTTGTCCTTTTCTGACTGGCTTATTTCACTTAGCATAATGTCCTCAAGGTTCATCCGCGTTGTAGTACGTGTCAGAATTTCCTCCCTTTTTAAGGCTAAATAATATTCCATTGTATGGATAGACCACATTTTCTTTGTCCATTCACCCATCCATGGACACTGGGGTGCTTCTGCGTTTTGGCTATTGTGAATAATGCTGCTGTGAAAATGGGTGTACAAACATCTCTTTGAGACCCTGCTTTCAATCTTTTGGGTATATACCCAGAAGTGGGATTGCTGGATCATATGGTAATTCTATTTTTAATTTTTTGAGGAATTGCCATACTGTTTTCCATTCTCCATATTTTAAACAGCATTTAAATCCTGTCCAACTTTCTATTCCCCCTTTGGGACAATCATGTGGATATAAAGCATTTATTGTCCTAGGAAGGTATAGTGTGGAAACAACTGGGATACAAAATTTTGAGAACTGCCATAAAAAGACAAAGTAAGCTGTGTGTTCAGTTTAGAGTTCTATAGTTCATTCAATAAATATTATGAATCTGGTACATGATAGACAGTCTCTCTCTTGAAGTGGTTGACAGCTCAGTGGAAGGAATATAGACAAGACACTGGCGAATTACCACCTGTGGTATCTCCACAAGGTAGACACTGGCCTGCTAGGGGACCCCAGGGGAGGAATACTGAAACTGAATCTGGGCTTTCCATCATCTGGCCAGCTCCAATTTCTTCTTCACTGCCTTCGCTCCGATTCACAGCACTTTGTTAGAGAGATCATCCTCTAGCACAGATCTCAGCAAGATATTCCCTCATTTTCCCAAGTAAAGCCCTCCAGAGCCTCCCCTCTGCTCTCAGGATGGAGCCCACCATCCTTGGCCAGGTGATGAAAAGCCCCCTTCCAGCCTCCTCTGTGACCCCACTGAACCCCAGACAGGCACTGCCCATTTCACAGCTCTGTGCCTTTGCTCCAGCAGCTCCCGGAGCCTGGCCTCTCTTTCAACATGAGCATCAATCCTGGTGCAAATCCAAATCATCTGGAGAAATTAAACAGCAAAAACAAACAAAAAAAACAATGCCAGGGGCTCATCCCAGATAGAATGAATTAGAATCTCTGAAGGTAAGCCTGGGTATTTTTTCGGCTCTCCAGGTGATTCTGATTTAAACCAGAGCTGCCATCACTGCTCTGTGCACACAGGCATAACTCCCCTCCCGCAGCAGGACCATCCCAGTTACATTGCCATTGGCCCAAAGACAGCTCCCATCCTGCTCTAGACTGAACGCACAGAATCGCTCTGACTTCAGATTTTGCCAGATGAGTCCCACTAAATCAGGAAACATAAAAAACACCTGCTTGCACAACTCACCTGAGACCCTTCTCTACAAATGACAACCGATGACTGCAATGTTTTAAGTGTCATCATGCACCCAGTTCCCCATACTCACTCCCTGACTTACCTCTTAACAGTAGAAGGCAGTGTACATTTATTGAGCAACTCTACCCGCCAGACACACTCACGCCATCTCAATCCTCACTGTAACCCGAGACAGGTATACGGCTTAGCTCCATCTTATAGATGAGGAAACCTGTTAAAAACGTCAAATATTTGCACGGTGTTTTTTTCATGGTGCTTATCACATTAAATTTTTTTTTTACTGTCTGCCTTCTCCAGAAGACCATAAGAAAAGAATGCCCTCTGTTTCCCTGATACACACCTGGCCAGTGCTTACTACTACTCAACAAAGTGTTCTTGCTAAATGAGTGACGAGCATCCAGGATGCTCTCTCTCCTCTCTGCTTGTGAGCTTCATTTCTTTTCACTACAGACCAGCTTGCGTGTACCCACCATACCTAAGCCCAGTGCTTCTCAGCTTCTTCCACGGGAGACCAACCTCATCTCAATTCTAGTTCAAAAAATTCTAGTTCAAAAAAAAAAAAAAGCATGGTGCCTACTGTGGGCTAATCAAGTGGGTCCCAGGAGTCAAGCAATTAGAGGATTAGGAGGGTCAAGAAAGTACAGTTCTCAGAAGGGGTACTGAGCACGTTGAGTAAGTTTCTTGACCATTCGGTGCCTCAAATTTCCTCATCTACAAAATGGGGGAAATCCAACATCCTACAATTAATATGAGAATTAAATGAGAGAGTCCTTACAGAGTCCTCAGAACTATGCCTGTCACACAGTAAGACTGACCGACAATTACACAGGCCTACAATGAAAAGGTTGACATATATCTACCATACCAGGCATTGTTCTAGAGCAGGGGTTGGCAAACTTTTTCCGTAAAAGGCCAGATAGTAAGTATTTTAGGTTTTGCAGGCCATCCAATCTCTGTATGGACTACTCAACTCTGCTTCTCTTGTAGCAGGAACGGCAGCCACAGACAATACATAAATGAATGGGTATGGCTTTGCTCCAATGAATCTTTTTTTCAAAGACAGGCAGGCTGGATTTGGCTGCAGGCCATAGTTTGCTGACCCCTTTCTAGAGCAATGCTGTCCAATAGAAATATAATGCAAGCCACAGATATAGTTTAAAATTGTCTAGTAGCCACATTAAAAAATAAACAGGTAAAATTATAAAACATTGTCTTTAACCCAGTGTATCCAACATACTGCCATTTCAACATGTAATTGATATAAACAAATTATTGATACTTTACATTCTTTTTCATACTAATTCCCCAAAAGTTGCTGTGTTTTACACTTACTGCACATTTCAATTTGGACTAGCCACATTTCAAGCGCTCAATAGCCTTATGGAGCTGGTGGCTACCATATTGGACAACACAGTTCCAGAGCATATGCTAATCTACATAATGCTTAGATACACACCTATACCCCTCGCTTCTGAATACATATCAAAAATAAAGTTTATACAGTGGCAGCAACAGTAGGCCCTAAATATCTGTTGACTGAATGCATATAAAAGCTTCTAAATATTAACTAATACTACAGTATGGGCAAGGTGCACACATCTAACCTAAACCCTGAGAAGTAGGAAAGATCAAAGAAATTTTCAAGAGCTGGTAACAAATCAGCAGTAACCTACATCTGTTTAGATTTTCAGATGTAAGATCTAAAGAGAAATTTTAAGTTTCTAGCCTTAACCCACATACACTTCTCCAGTTACACAGAGAGCCCCTTCCTCTGTGGAAATAAATGATACCAAATATTGCTAGGGGCGTCGCAGTTCCTGAGCAGCCACCCAAATACTGCGCTGGGGCCCTTTCACGTTATGATGATCCCTAGCAAAGGCGCAGCGAGGGGAAGGGACCAGCCCAAAGGCCCACTCTGGCCCGGGGTCGGGTTCCAGTGGGTGGGGCGGAGCGACAAGCAAAGCCTGCCGCGAGCTGTCCAGGGGTGACAGCCCAGCACCCAGCACATAAGCAGCGGCGGCCCCGACGGATCTGCCCACCCCGGTGATGTTGGCTGGAGGAGGGGAGGGGTGAGGGCACGTTCGGGCCTCCCCGGGCTCGCCGCCCGAGAGCCTCCCCGAGCAGGGGTGGGCTTCCACTGGAAACAACAGCTCGCCGTTCTGCCAGGGCAGAGACTCCAGCGAACCCGGAGCGTAGCTCACCAAGCCGGGCAGGCGAAGCCCCGTAGCTCTCGGAGGCCCCTACGTCCGGAGAGAACTTCCGGGCCCCAGGGCGGGACCACGAACGCTCAACCAATCCAAGCCCGCAGACTAGAGAACACAGTCCCGGGACCCAGCGCATGCGTGCTAGGGAAATGGGGCCTGCGCAGAGCGATCACTGGCCTCTCCGTGGAGGAGGTCGTATGGCTCGGGGCGGACAGTCCGGGATAAGGGCCTGAATTGAAAGAAACTAACCTCCTAATGTTTTTGAGCAGCAAAGTTCGTTGAACTGCTCTACAACGTACCGTTTCTGTTTTCAGTCAAGCAATGCTCAGCTAAATGTGGACAAAACTTGGGACAAAAATGTGAATTATCGATTTATTTAATGCAGTAATTAATTCAACAAGTGTTTATTTCACCCCTAGCATGCATCAATTGATATGAAAATAGTAGACATTCATTAAGTAGCCTGGTGCATCCTGCACTTCTCACATGTACACATTCTTTCCCTGTAGGAGCCAATAAAACCGAGGTGATGGTGGAACTAGAGAATGTGGCAGCCTTCTTTGCTGATCCCCTGCTATAAGTTAATTTGGGGCAAGGTTCAAAACAGCAGAGCTTTGCTCTGGCTTGGATGCTGTCAGGAAGCAGGGTGATTTTGTGATTGAGCAATGTAATAAACATTACCTAGAAGGAGGGAAGACAAGACCAAGACTAAAGTTGTGATTAGTAAAGAAGCAGCTACTCAGTTCTAAAAACTGTTGAAATACTGCAGGTCCATCCTGAATATAACCTGAGACTTTAGTTTCAAAAGCCTGTTGCTATAAGATTGTTTCTATCACAAGAACAAAGACACCTATGAATCTAATTTATTGAACAGGCTGGGCTCTTTATGGTATAAGTAAGAAGAAACTTTTTTTTCTCACCATTCCCTTGAAACAAGCCCTGTTGGCTCTCTCCCCTGCCCTTTGGTGGTCAACCAGACAGTGCTCCAGGTCTGGTACTTGAGGCTTGAGCAAATGCCACAGCTTTTCCAGTCACTTTCAAGTATAAATAAACAATTTTATTTTTAGGTTGTTAAAAAGTCCATCTAATCTAATATTAAAACTTAATTACTCATCCAACTCACAGCTCTGACCCTCCCTCAGCTCATGTGATCTGTAACTCTGTGGAACAGCAAAGGGAAAGACATGTGGATCAATTTCTTCACTTTCCTTATTGTACCCTTTCTCTGCTTCCTCCACTATTTTCTGGCCTGTCCAGGGTGAGGGCAGGGGGAGGAGGAGGTGGTGAAAAGGTCTTTTTTGATTAGTGTTGTGGGTTGAATGGTGGCCTCCCCTAAAAGATGTATATGTTCACTTCCTAACTCCCAGAACCTGTGAATGTGACCTTACTCAGAAAAAAGGGCCTTTGTAGATATAATTAAGGATCTGGAGATGAGATCATCCTGGATTACCCCAGTGGGCCCTAAATCCAATGACAGGCAGAGAGGCAGAAGAGAAGACACAGAGACAAAGGAGAAGGCCACGTGAAGACAAAGGTGGACATTGGAGTTATGCAGCCACAAGCCAAGGAACTCCTGGAGGCACCAGAAGCTGGAAGAAGCAAGGAGGGATTCTCCCCTAGAGCTTTTGGAGGGAGTGTAGTCCTGCCAACCCCTTGAGGTTGGACTTCTGGCTCCAGAACTGTGAGAGAATAAATTTCCGTTGTTTTAAGCCACCCAGTTTGTTACGGCAGCCACAGGAAACTAGCACAATTAATGATGTTGTTACCTGGTATTGGAGCTCTCTGTGTGCTGATGTCCAAATGCTGCCTCTTTTATTCTTTTTGTGGGCTCACTTTTGGGATTTTTTTGGAGACTGCTCCTTGCTGGGGGCCCCTACTCATCCATTCTCTGGTTCAAATGATACGCTGTCTGGTTGACCACCAGCTCCTGCTTTGGAGGAGGAGCTCACCGAGCCTTTTTCTGTTGGGTCACTTCACCTGCAGACAGGCCTCTTGGGCGAGGTCCTTCCAGAACAAATTAAGCCTAGCTACTTGCTTGATGTGCACTTAGCCCATAGGAGAACCCCAGCACCTGGTCCTGGAAGCAGAGGCTGCTCCCTCTGCACCCGCTTTCTTTGCCATCATAGGTAGTCTTAGGCAGGTGCAGCTGGCTTCTCACCTGTTGAGTTTTTTGGGTGAGTCAAGCACCATTTCTTGTGCCCTTTCATGACAGGGGCACCTGTCAATCTCTCTGAGTGATTCTGTCAAAGTCCCCCTCCACTTGCCTGGAAGGCAGAAGGAAGCTTCCAGAATTCTAACAGCCCTCTTCCACTCTTGCCTTCTCCTATACATAAGCTGAAGAGGGGTGAGGAGCCACAGGTGGCAGAAGTAGTGTTGGACTCTCCACTTAGCCGTGTGTAGATGGTCTAGCACATCTCTTTAGAACCAGTGGGCACCAAACACTGTGCTTAGCTGTGGGGCCCTAGGTGAAACTGAGTCGGGAAAAGTCCCATTTGACATCCTCTTGTACCTGTGGTAATCTTTAGATCATTTCCACACATCTTGTTCTCCTTTCCCACACAATTAGTCCATTTTGTCATTTCTCTAGAATATAAGTTATTCTACCGTAGGTTTATGGCAACAGATTAGCAGGGAAATGAAGGACCAGCAAGTCTGGCTTCAATCACTTCTTGGTGCATATCATAGGATGGAAATTCAGAGGCAATGAAACAACATTTATACCACTTGGTTCCTGGGAATGCTTCAAAATTCCGTTTAATCAGAAAAGTATAGAAAAAGTACAAGAGAAATGGGATGAAAGGATGCCGACTCTGTTCAGAGACCTCTGCCTGCCTACTCAATTGCCCTTTGCATTGCTGTTAAGAAATCCGAGCTGAAGCCCACCACCTGGGATTTCATTCTGTCAGAGTGGCTTGTCATCAGGAGGAATACAGTCTGTCAGTGATCTTTTTTTTTTTTTTTTAAATTTATTTATTTTTCCCCTAAAGCCCCAAGCGA